TACTTAAAAAAATCCATCACCTAGGCGACAAGGCACTCTCTTATTGCCTAGCCTCGCCTTTGCACCTTGAAAACTATGGGGTCACATCATCTTTTGCTAAAACATTCTGTCTCACAATATCTTATTCCGAGTTAAGTCTAGTAAGGAACTCAAAAACCTCATTTCTTTCCACCAACTTCCCATGTGCCTCAACATCTTTTGTGCACCCCCACACAACAGTCTCCATCAAGTCAATCTCCTGCTGAGATTTTGGCATGGAGAAGTAAACAACTAAGAGCTTCTCCCCCTGTCTTAGATTGCTCACATCATTCTATAGTTTTTAGGCCTTGGCAACATTCAACTTCTAGGAATAGGTCTCCATGACACTATCCCACACTTCCTTTGCAATATCCATCCACAGGTATTGCTGGCTAATATGAGGTTGCATGGAATTTACTAACCAGCCTACTAAAATGTAATTTTCCTACGTCCACCTCTCATAGGTAGGGTCATCCTTCGTTGGTTTCTTTTTGTTTTTGGTGATGTACCCCCATTTTCCTCTACTACAGACATGAATCTTTATTAATTGAGACTGCCAAAAAATTGCTTCCATCTAACTTTATTGTGGTTACTGCCCCTAATAGAGTCTCCATAGACCCCCATGGCCAAACCTGGAGTTTGTGAGGTATTTTGCTTCGCCGCCAGTTTGCTCCATTGATTGAACGGAAGCAAACAAAAATCAAAATATGAACTACTAATCAAGAATCACTGACCTGAAACCAAAACTACTATTGAACCACCCAAAATTACTATTGAACCACCCAAAACTAGAGTTTCATAGAACCTGACAACTCGGGAAAAGGAGAGAAAGTCCAGTCACTCCTACCAGGGATTTCAGAACCCTTTCCAACTTGGATCGATCACAAAGAGGATCGAAAAGCTTCTCTTCAAGCCCCAAGAGCCAGCTTCGAAGTGTCTCTAGAACCCTTAACTCAATTTCTCTAGTTATCTAGGGTTTTTGGGAAAATCTCCAAGAACGTGTCTTGGGCCTCAAACAAGGGTAAATTCCTCTCCAAAAACCCTCCCAAACTGGGCTCTATAAGCTGCCAATCAATCAACTGATCAGTTCTCCATACACATTGCTTATGGGCCTAAAAGAAGAAATTGCAGGAGATGGGAACCTTCTCTGATACCAAATTGTAAATCAAACCAGAAATAATTCTGAAAAATAAAATAAAGATAGAAAAGAAGAATAAAGAGAAGTTTAGAAAAGGATTTAGAAGGAAGAGAAGAGAATTGAAGAAAAGGGAAGAGGAAGAGAGCTGTTCAATCCTCTCTCTATGTCCCTCAATTTGATTAAATATGTGCTGAATAATAAAACATTGTAAAGTTACATGAGTGCCCCTAGTTGGGCAGCTGTCTTAAGAACATAAAAAGAATGAGTATTAAGTCTCATTACTGCAGAAATAAAACAGAATTAAAGCTACTAAAAACAAATGAACCTAAGGCCCATTCAGCCCAATCTCTCTACAATTTCAATTTGATATTTGAATTATATTTTTTATTTATGTAGGTATGCATATTATTTGAGCTTTCTAATTGGGTTAATCCCAATAGAATGGCCCAAACCATATTAGTTACCGGACTGACAGTTTGGTCTGGTTTCGTTTCTATACTAAAATGGTTTGGTTTTGTCCGAGAGTGCTGTAATTTACTGTTTTTTTCTCAACTTTTTTTAGTAGGAGCATTTTTTCTCTCTTTTTTTTTTGATAATTGAAAAGCCACTTGATTACCAATATGTAATCTAAGTTACAACACCCCTAAGAGAGGCATGAGGTTGCCCAGTACAGATGTTCCCTCAAGACCCCCTATGTAGCGAGACTATCATCCATAGCATTTGCTGACCTTCTCACCCAACGTGATCTAACATTCATGTTGCTTGTTAACCAGCTTGCCTTCTTTAGGAAATCCTTGTAGCACCAAATTACTGAGCTCAGGTCTGTTAACCAACCCACAACCACCTTAGAATTTCCTTCAATTAGGAGATGCTCCACTCCTATTTGATTTGCTATCTGAGTACCTTGTAGAGTTACCAATAATTCGGCCTTGACTGAGTCTCCTATAGTCCTATTCCCACTGGACCATAGTATAAGGCTGAGATGTTGCTGTCCTTATCTCTCAAAACCCCTCCTATGCCTAAGGGACTAAGGTTTTCTTGACTACTACCATCAAAATTCAGTTTAACCCAATCTTCAGGTGGCGGCGTCCAATCTACATTGACCTTTTCTTTCCTAGAGGAGCTACTTGCCACTGCTAACCAGTTTCTCCAAAAGTCATCAAAGGAAACACAACGGAAAGAATCCAAAGTTTTCAGCCAGTTAATTGCCCCTGTTAGGATACATTCCTTGACAAGCAAGAGACTTCATTCCTTTTCTTGAAAGATTCTTGCATTTCTTTCTTCCCAAATTGTCAAAAGTGCAGCAGCTCTAATACATTTCCTCATAGTCCTCCCTCTTTTAGTGGGCCATACAAAGGTCGACGGGTCAAAAAGCAGATTTACAAAGGCTGGTTCCACCTACATCCAAACAAGGCAAAAATCCAATCCCAATTAGCTACAACAAAAGAGCAAGAAATTAGTAAGTGGAAGCAATCCTCACCATTGTCTTTGCAAAGAACACTACTTGGGGGATAAGCATATAAAAGGCTTTTTCTTCTGCAAACAGTGTAAAGTATTGATCTTTCCATGAAACACTTCCCAGCAGAACAAAATAACTTTAGGGGGAATAGGTCTAGTCCAAAACTCCTTAACCGGACAGACACCCTGAACAGGGGAAGAACAAAGGGCCTTGAAGAATGAAGCACAAGAGGCCTTTGGGGTGGGGAGACCAAATCCTCTTATTTGGCTTTAGAGGATCCAAAAAAACACCATCTAGGACATGAAGAAGTTCCAAAACAACATCAAGTTCAGCATCTCTTTTTTTTTTTTTTTGAAAAGTAAATAAAAATTTTATTAAAGAAAAAAGAGATTACAGAAAAGTGTGGCAAGCCATCACCCAAATACAAAGACCAACTTAAGACTAATGAGCAAACTCCATATTACATATTTGAAAACTCAGGACCTCCCTTTAACTATTATCCAACTCCTCCTTTTCTAACTGTCTGAAATCTTAGAGAATCAGCACCCAATCAAGTTCAGCATCTCTTAAACCCCTACGGAAGCCAAACTTCCAATTTAAAGCCGAAGGGGGAAAAGGATAGGGAAGGAAGTGGGAGACAACCTTATGCTTAAACAAGGAGATGGAGTATAGTGAAGGCCAACAGGTCCTTGAGAGCTGAATTACCTACCCAAACATCTTCCCAAAATAAAATAGAGTTCCCTAAGCAAGCATCTTACCTGACAAAGTTCAAAAAAAGGGGCAGGATACTATGAATTGCTTTCAAAGGAGTGGCCAAAGTAGCCCGACGAGAAACTCCAGCATTCCAGCCATTCTCCAGACAGCCATGAATACTAGCTAACCTCATGCTACAACCTCTCTCTTTCCAAAGGCCATCTCCATCTCCACAACCACTTACCTAACAAAGCTACATTCTTTAGAGCCAAGTTCCCTATCCCCAACCCTCCCTCTTCTTTACTCCTACAAACTATTTCCCATTTTATCAAGTGATCCTTTTTCTCTTCCCTAGGCTCCCAAAGTCCCTCATTTTTTTCCATTTCATTGGACATGCTCCAATAGCATTAGCAGGGCCATGTCTCTCATTTAGAGAGCAGATGGATACTTGCACAGCACTTTTGAGTGCCATTGATATACCTTACAAGCTAATGCTAACTTGTTGACAGTTGAGTCCTACAAGAATGTCAGACTTGAGCTTGATTCGCCAGACATTAGTGTCAAGCTGTCAGCACAAATTTAGGTCTTCTTTGAACTTCTTTGTCATGCTTAATGTTCTCTATTATGCAGCATGCTACAAATCTGGTGTTTATCTTCTTAAACTAGAACAATGTGCTTTACCTCATTATGCTGAACCATGGATATGATGCAACTCCCACACCTTTGGTGGTTGGGGTGGGAGTTGAATTTCTATGAACTTGGCTTGATTTATTTTGTAAATTTGATCATATTTGATATTTGGTTGTCTTTTTATCTTGAGTCTTGTGTAATATTTTGTTATATGGCATGCCATATGATGCTCATCTTCATAGTGTTGTGCTTGTCATTCAAATCATGGTTGCATTAGAGGGTATCGATTTCATTATGTTTGGTCAGTAGTTAATTTCTACCATAGTTGGAAGTATCAATACACTCATTGAAAATTTCAGTGTCGAGCCTTTAAAACTTACTTTTTTTTTTTTTTTTTAATTTTTATGTCCTGTGTTTTCACGGTTAACATGTTACAAGGGGTTCGCCCATTTGGACACAAAAACCCCTAAATCCTTATATATGGCATTTTAGTGACCTAGAAAACCAATATGTATCATACGATATGGTGGAATATGTATCCATACTTTGAACCTTGATTTCTACCTATATGATGCACTCAGGGGTAAACATGTGCATTCATAGTTTCATTTTATACGGACCAGTCTGAGTCATCGATGTCACTTGGTTAAGCTGACCATAGGAAAGAAGAAACTTTGGGGTTGTATTGAAGAATATGGACATTGAGAGAACAATTTTCCTTCTTGTTTCTATATGCAGACTGACACCATTCTTTCATTCTTGTTGTTAGATTTTTGTTTTGTCCCTGATTTTTGTACATCATTTCCTTATCCATGATTCTGTTCTAATACTAGGCACAATTAGGGTCATGTCCAAAGCCATTACAACATCTAAATTCTTGTCCATGTTTTGATAGAATGCATAGATTGTGCTACTTCTATATATTTCATTGCATGGAAAACTCCTATTTCTGAATTTTTTGGCAACCTAAAAGACTGATTTTCCTTGGTTCATGTTACTTGATTTTAGTTTGTTCTGGATGTTTTTTGTGAGTATTTATTTAGGAACTATGATTATATGCAGGTTTTGGTAATTGCTGTTCTGTTAAAGATAATTATGAGGCGGAGATTTTCCGTAATTCAGGTTAGTTTCAACTTCTAAATGATCTTATTCCAGTCACTCTAATATTTTAACTGTTCCATGGGAAAATAATGCAAAAGAATTCAACTTATGTTAAAATATCATCTTATCTTTAAATGTTCTTATTCACATGATTCTAATGCATTGTTTTGTAACAGTGGGAGGCCCTGGCTCTGTTGCTTATTGGAATTAGTGTTAACCAGCTGCGGTCACTACCTGAGGGTAGAACTGCTATGGGTCTTCCAGTTGCAACAGGCGTATATCTATACACATTGATCTTTGTAAGTAAGCTACTGCATAATCTTTTCTGGGAACCACAGTTGGTATTATGAGTTTCATGTGGACCAAGATTATGTGACTGTGTAATAGTATTCTTGCATATGTTGATTTGATTAAATCTCTTATAGAAGATCAGTAAAGCTTTGCAGTCTTTGAATTATATCAAAGTTGTCCTTAGTTTTTCCATTTTGGTGTATATTCTGATTTCCACCACTTTATTGGAGGTAGTTTTCTTGCAAATAATCTTCCAATAAGTCTCTCATATTTGAAATCCAGATATACGATAGTATTCAATGAGGAATTGGTTGACGGTCCATATGCAAACAACTTGATTTGATTTAATCTCTGCTTTGCCTGCCAAATATAAAAGAAAGTCTCTGTTCAACTTTTCTTGTTGGCAGATATGTTTGAAGATCAACTTTTTTCAACTTTTGGGGGGAGCTAAGAGAGTTTATCTCCCCTCCTCTCTTTGTAATTTCTTTGAGTTTTATTTAATGGATCTCATTCAGTTATTGATAAAAAAAGATATCTTTGAAGATTAGATAATGACTAATTGCCCCTATAAAATAAATTTTCAGGTGACTGTTCCATCTTTGGCCTCAGTTTACAATGAATATGCATTGAAGAGTCAGTTCGAGACAAGCATTTATCTTCAGGTGATTGTGCTGACTAATTTTACTAGTATGGTTGGGTGAAAATGGATTAATCTTGTGAAGAGAAATAAACTCCAATAGTCTCTAGTATAATTTGTAACACTTATGGTAGTCCATTGGCTTTTGGATCTGTGGTTGCATTTGTGTAGTAATATTAAGAGCATTATTCTGTAGGTTAACTGTTTCTAGCTCTTTTGATTTTCTTGTTGCAAGCCATAAAAATGTTAACGTGCTTCTGAAGTTCTGCTCCTTGATGTGATGTGTCTGCTCGCTTACATTTCAGTGAAGCAACAACTTGATTAGACCACTAGACCAGTAGTTAATGAATTATGATTCATGCATTGTCTCAATGGGATAATATATTTGATCTATTTGGGCTTGGTCCTCATAAGAAGGTGAAGAAAATTATGAAGGTTAATAAGAAGAAAATTGTGTTGGATTCTAATCAAGCCAATAAAGCAGTGGAGTTAGTGGATAAAAATGAGTGGTACTACATGACTCCAAGCCCCCTCTCCCTTGTCATTACATCTCCTAAAGAGGAAGGCTCATCTAAAGAGAAATGGGTAGTGACGTTTAGGCAAGATGTTGGTGAAGTGAGTTGGTGATTGAGATGAAGAAGTTTGTTTTAGAAGAGGGTAAAAGTTGAAGCCAGTTGGTTCTGGAGTCCAGGGAAGAAGGAAGAGCCACTATTTACCTAATAGGAGAAACAGTTCAATGGCTGAAAGGTTTAGTAGAAATCTGCTGAATCAAAAAATCTGCAAAGAAAAGAAGAGTTTCTTGTGGTAGAAGAGAAATAAAGAAAAGAAGTTGAGAAAGAAAGAGAGAGCAAATCTGGTCTGGCCGCCCTCTCCAATTGGTATTTATACTTTTAAGTAAAAAATAAGTACAATGACTAACATTCCCTTATAGGGTGACTAACTCAAGACTGCATAAAAACTTAAAAACATTACTCTAAAGGGTTCGAACAAGAGTGTTGTGGTCCTCACTTACTATCTAAACAAATAATAAACAAAAACAACTAACAAATTTGCAAAAAATCCTGAACACTCCCCCTCAAGTTGGGAGTCAATGTCACACATTCCCAACTTGCGTAAGTCATGTTCAAGCTTGTTTTATGCAACCTCTTTGGTGAAGATATCAACTAACTGTAGCTCAGAGGAGACATAAGGCAAGTAGACTTCCCTTGTTGTCACCTTTTCACTTATGAAGTGTCTATCAACCTCAATGTGCTTTATCTTGTCATGCTGAATTGGATTGTGGGCAAGATTGCAGCTTGGTTGTCACAATATAACATCATGGACTCCTCTACATCTATCCCATTCCCACTCAGCAAGGATCTAACCCAATGTAATTCTGAAACACCACGGGCCATAGATCTTATATTCGGCCTTTGCACTTGACCTAGCTACCACCAGAAATCAAACATATAAAACATTTTCAAGCATATAAAATCCACAATCTCTTTTTTTCTTTCTCAATTGCATCAAGTAGCTAATGTGACATATTACATTCCTAATTCTACGAGCCACCTTTGTGCCACTCCCCTTGAGGCCAGCCCAAACAAGTCCATGTTAGGGTCTTAAATTCTTAGTTTTCACACAAAAAAATAATACTTTTATAGTTTTAATTGCTTTTAAGAAGATATTTTATTGGGATGAATGAATGGACAACATTACCAAATAGGGGATTCTCGAAGTGGCAAATTTTCAAAAGGCGCATGCCTGGGCTAAGGAGCAAGGCACACCAAGCACACGCCTAGGCTCACCAGGTGTGCGCCTAGGACATGGGCGAGGTGGCTGCCCTAAAATGTGCCTCGCCTGTGTGCCTAGGCGTGCCTTTTAAATCACTGGGTAAAATTTTGTGTCGCTAACTATGGAAATGGAAATATGTCATGAAAATATTAGGGAAATTAGGGACATTTTAAACCATGATTGTGAGGCAGGCCATAGTGGATCAGGCAATGGAACTAGAGTTGATGGTGGAGCAACAGGTGGGAATGATGGAGTTGATGGATTAGAGGAAGGAACAAGAAGAGGAACAAACTGTGATCTCTCCTCCCCAAAAGACACCCTAAGGAGAACCACTAGAGGAAAAAGAATGTACACTAAAAAAAAGTAGCATCCATACTGACAAACCCGTTCCTTGACACTGGATCATAACAACAATACCCTTTTTTAATTTGAGCATACCCAAGAAAAACACATTTAGCCTTAGGATCCAACTTCTTATGCTAAGGACCAAGAATGTGAACAAAACAGACACACCTAAAAACTCTCAAAGGTATATGAAATATCACCCCATTTGGAAAAAAAAAGACTGAATGACACCTTAAACCCCTGGATGCATAAAGGTAGTAAGGTACACGGTTAATCATGTACACAACTATGAGAATTGCATCCCCTAAAAAACGAATAAGAATTGAAACACACACCATAAGACTTCTTGCGACCTCCACAATGTGTCTATTTCTCCTCTCTGCTACCCCATTTTGTTGTAGTGTATAAGCACAACTACTCTGATGAATCACCCCATGCTCCAAAAAATGTGGCCAAATCCTTTTCAAAATATTCTGTAGCAATGTATGATCTAAAAATTTGTGTGAGAACCATCTGGTAGAACTGTCGCACCAAATAGCTACCTCATCACGTGTTCTCATCAAATATATCCAAGGAGCAAGGATATCGATGTAATCATCCACAAATAAAAGAAAATAATGGTATCCACCAATGGAAGAAATACGATAAGGTCCCCATACATTAGTGTGAACAATATCAAAAGTAGAAGAACATATTTTATTACTTGGTTTAAAGGAATGTCAATTATGCTTTCCCAACTGATAATTTCCACACTCTAGACTAGATAACTAAACGACCTCAAACAACTTTGGAAACAAACATCTCAATGAATTGAAAGAAACATGGCTCAATTGATTATGCCAGAGCATAATCTGACTCACTGATTTTGACCCACTACCATTGCTACTAACATGGTGGCTCTAATGTCTCAGAATCTAATCTATAAGGTAGACTTCATTCTCCTCACGACCACTCCCAAGCATCCTCTTTGACTCCAGCTTCTCCAAAACACAATTACCAATAAGGAAGTTTACTAAACAGTGCAAATTTTTTGTCAGACTACTCACAAAAAGAAGATTAGTATGAAGTTTGGGAACCTGTAAGACAGAGGACAAAGTAATGCCATCAGTTACTCTAATTGTCCCTTCCCAGCAATGGGAATGTGAGAACCACTTCCTTACATGAGGTAGATGCATAATTTGCAACCGCATATGAATTATCTGTATGAGCAAAGGAAGTAGTGTGACTGGCTCCTGGGTTTTTTACACTCTGTTGCCCGCTTGAAGAACTGGAACCAGCTGAATCATTCTTACTCATAAGTTGTCCATATTTTTCCAACTTAGTTTTAACTGTTGCCATTGCAATGGACTCCAAGTCAGCATGGGTAAGAGGTCCCGAAGAGTCTCTGGTAGTTGCCACATTTGCATTTCCCTTCTTGTTCTTGACCTGAGCTAGTATGAGATGTGGATGGAGCTTCCTACACTTCTTGCAGTAGTTACACACCAAGTTCTTATCCTCCCTCTTGATCTCACTACTCCTTCTGTCTCCATTTGGCTTAGGTTTGACTGTACTAACCATAGCTGACTAGTCAACCCTAGATTGTCTCAACATGACATTCCTCCTACTCTCCTCTCCGAACACAAGGGTATAAGCTTGAAAAAGAGTTACACTTTCTCTAGAAGGGATGTGCTGCCTGGCAATATCAAATTCAGGGTTTAATCCAACAAAGAACTCAAAAACCCTATTCTTCTCCACCAACTTCTGATAGGTTGTTGCATCCTTTGTACTCTCCCAAACCACAATCCCTAAGTGATCTGTCTCCTGCCAAAGTGCTTTCAACATGAGACTTACATAGTAAGTGGTCTATCTCCCTGTTTTATATTAATCACTTGATTCCTTAACTAGTAGGTTCTAGTTATATTCTGTTTCTAGGAATAGGTCTCATTCACTCCATCCCAAATCTTCTTTGCAGTATTAGCCCACAAAAAAATTTTACCAATGTGAGGTAACATAGAATTACATAGCTCACCAGGAGGAATCTGTATCAGGTTTCTTCTCCTCCCAAGATCCCTAGATTTCATAGTAATAAATAGTGATCTTTAACTAACAATCACCATAATTCTCATGAAATAAGTATAAACCCCATGCCAATAGATAGAAAGTGAACATATTTATGAGTAAAAAAATAAGAAAGGATAGAAACATACAAAAGATAAGGGTTGATCCCTTGTTTTGGTGCTAGGAAGAAGAAGAAGAAGACAAAGAGGATGGCCTTGTGATCTAAAAGGCGTGCCTAGGCGCACAAGCGAGGGGCGTGTGAAAGTTATCAGTTGGGAAAGGCGGCTCGTAGAATTAGGAATGTAATATGTAGAGGTGTAAAGTGGGCCATGTCGGGCCGGCACGGCACGGCCCGCGTCGTCCTCCCTGATGGATATTTTGGGGGTCAGCCCGGCACGGCCCATGGCCCAGGCCCGTGCCGGGTTGGGCTTGGGCCTGGGCCGAACTGGGATAGACTCACTGAATGGATTATTGTCAAATCAAATGTCATATCAGGGATTCAGGATCACTGGATCAGGATTCAGGAATCATGACAGGAAACAAATAATAAATTAATAACAAATTTATGATTACCCAATAACCCAAAGAATAAATAAATAAAAGTATAAAACAATTCAAATAGGAATTTAATTTTTTTTTCATTTAAATTTGGATGAATAATGATACAAATTACAAAGTATACAATTATACAAATATTGAAATTATGAAATATACAATGGTTGGATACTTCATAAACTTCATACTTGGATAGTTGGATGAATGAAATATGAAAATGGAATAAACTAATAAAATATAAAAAATACAATATAGAATTATAGACTATATAGTTACAAATTGAAAATACAAAATTACATTAATAGCAAATAAATT